TGCCACTTTCGAGGGCGGCTGGGGGGGCAGCGCAGCGACGCCACGCGCGGACTCGGGTTAGACTTCGCCATCCTTCGGGGGGGGGCTACGATCCGCGACAGCGTCGCCACTGTGGAGGGCTGCTGGGGTGGGGGGGGCAGCACAGCGACGCCATGCGTGTGCCCAGATTGGACCTCGCCATCCCTCGGGGGGCGCGATCTGCGAAACTGCCGCCACGCTCAAGGGTTGCTGCTGGGGGGAGGTCAGCACACTGGCGTCTCACGCGGATCCAGACGTGGACGTCGGCATCCCGGGGAGCTGCGATCTGCGAAGTTGCGGCCGCGTTCGAGGGCCGTTGGTGGGGCGGGGAGGGGGGCAGCACAGTAACGTCCTACGCAGACTCAGATTAGACCTCGCCATCCCTGGGGGGCTGCGACCCGCGAAATTGCCGCCGCGTTCGAGGGCTCCTGCTGGGGGGGGGCAGCACAGTGGCGTTGTCGGTTGATCCAGAGTAGGCCTCGGCATCCCTGGGGGGGTGCGATCTGCGAAATTGTCGCCGCCTTCGAATGATTTGTTTTGGAGAGAGAGAGGGGGGGGGGGGCAGGACAGCGGCGCTCTACGCTGATTCAGACTAGTTCTCGCCATCCTTGGGGAGGGACGGGGTTGCGATCTGCGAGACTGAAGCGTTCGAGGGCTGCAAAGTGACTCCATGCGCGGACGCAGACTAGACCTCGCCATCCTTGGGGGGTTGCGATCTGCAATCGTCGCCACTTTGGAGGGCTGCTGGGGTATCCAGCAGAGCGACGACCTGCGCAGATCCAGATTCGACCTCGGCGTCCCTGGGGGTTTGCGATCTGCGAAACTGTCGCCGAGTTCGAGGGCTGCTGTGGGGTCCAGCGAGGTGGCGCCTTACGCAGATCCAAATTGGACCTCGCCATCTTTGGGGGACTGCTCCCACTTTCGAGGGCTGCTGGGGGGCCCAACACGGCGGCGTCCTACGCAGATTCAGATTCGACCTCGCGGCGCGCCCGCGCGACTGCACACCCCGCGCAGGAAGAGGGGACAGCAGCTGGCAGGGCAGCTCGGCCTCGCGCGGCTCCAGCATCGCATATAATTGATTGGTGGCGCGCGTCGAGCCAGAATCTCTCACAGTCCTCTTCCCTTCTCGCGTCGTCACGTTCTTCCTTCCTGTCGCCGTGTCCCCTTGCTGCTGCCCCGCCGATTGTTCCAGATCCTCGTCCGCCTTCTAACATTAGCATTTGACCCTCGTTTCCTTCGGGCCAGGAAATAGCTATTTATCCCCATCAAAACTTTTGATCGGCGCCGTGCGAGTCGCGCAGCTCGCGGGCCTCCCAAGAAACATTTGCAGAAATAGACCCCTTGCCTCGCTATCACCCCGCTGCTTTGGCCACGCGTTGCGCAGAGGTTGGGCGCGTCGCCGAGGCAATTTTCCAAACGACACCCAAGCTTGGCGAACGGCCCACCCATGCGCAGTTGCTCGCAGCGCATTCGTGAGCATCGCCTTCGGTGGAGTTCCCGATGGGCCCGCGAGTCGCGTGAGGGGTGCACCGACATCGGCGCGGTGGGCGCGTGCGAACGCAGCCGCCGGGGCCATCGGTGGAGCCCCCTTTTGGGCGACGAATCACGGGAAGGGCATGCCGAAAACGGCGGGGCGGACGAATGCGAACGCCGCCATTGGGGCCTTCGGTGGAGCCCCCTATTGGGCCGCGAAGCGCGCATGGGATGCACCGAAATGGGCGATGCGCACGCATGCGAACACCGACACTGGGGCTTTCGGTGGCGCTCCCCGTGGGGCCACGAAGCGCGCGAGTGCCAAGCCGAAATGAGTGGGGTCGGCGCATGCGAACGCCGACACTGGAGCCTTCGGTGGCGCCCACTATGGGGCCACGAAGCGCGTGAGGAGTGTTCCGAAATAAGCGCGGTGCGCACATGCGAACGCAGCAATTGGGGCCTTCCGTGGAGCTCCCTATGGGGCCACGAAACGTGTGATGGGTGCGCCGAAACGGGCGAGGTGGGCGCATGCGAACGAAGCCAGTGGGGCCTTCGATGGAGCTCCCAATGGTGCCACGAGGCGCGTGAAGGATGTGCCAGGTGCGGCGGCGCATGCGCGCGCAGCGTGGAGTTCCCTGCGGGTCCACGCAACGTTTGAGGGGTATGCCGGAATTTGCGCGGTGGGCGCATGCGAACGCAGCCATTTGGGCCTTCGGAGGAGCTCACTATGGAGCCACCGAGCGCGCGGGGGGCGTGCCGAAATGGGAGCGGCGGGCGCGCGCGAACGCAGCGAACGGGGCCTTCGGCGGAGCCCCCTACGGGGCCGCGAATCGTCTGAGGGATGTGCCGAAATGTGCGCGGTGGGCACACGCGAACGCAACAATTGGGGCCTCCGGCGGAACTCCCCATGGGGCCTCCGGCGCGTCAGGGGCGCGCCGAAATGGGTGACTGGCGCGGAGGGCAGGGATGTGAGGAGGGAGGAGGGAGAGGAGGAAGGAGAGGAGACGCAGGGCGTTGTATTTTGAAACGCGGAAGCAACACCACAGGGTGGTTGGGAAAAAGAACGAACAAACGCACTCGTTCTGGCGAGTTCTCAAGGTAGCCAGCACTTCTTTCAACAATCTCATCAAATCAGACCACATAGGCCTCTCGCGCGCGCGTGCCGGAATTATCCGAGCGCCCATGCGCGCGTGTTGGGGGGGGGCCCTTGACAAATAGTACCATGCGGGACACTCGCGCCCGTCGGCCGCGCGCGCATGCCGAAATCCTTCCACGCTGCTCTTCATCGCCGAAACGTGAACATCATCATCGTAACCGGCGTGATCAGCATCGGGGCCGTTATCGGCCTTGCCGTCTTCATCGCCATCGTCGTCGCCAGCACCGCTACTATCATCATCGCGTCTGCCGTTGTCGACGTCGCCGTGATGCCGCGCCCGCCCCAGTCACCGAGTCGCACGGAAGTGCCCGCGCGTCTGCGCGGCTTTCGACACGCGCTGGGAAGTCCCCAGCAGTCTGCGCCGCCGCGTCCAAGTCGGTCGGGCCAGAATAGTTGGCCGCTCTGCGCGCGAGCCTGCGCGCTAGCGCGGCCGCGGCGAGATGCGCCAGTCAGCTCCCAAGCAGTCATCGCAATCGCCGCCGCATGGGTTTGGCAAACCAAGTTGCGGGTGGGTGTGTGGGATGATTGCGCCAGCCGTGGGGTTGACAATCGCAAGTTCGGTATCGTGAATTGCACCACGTAGACTGAACCACAGATTGCGCAGGATAGACTGCAGCAGTAAGATATCACAACATAGGTTGCACAACGCAGATTGCACCATTAGGTTGCGCACCGTAGATTGCACCAGATGGCGACGCCGTCATTGGCCTTGTCGCCGTCATTGTCTTCATCGCCACCAACACTCCTTACTATCATCATCGTATCTGCCGTTGCCGGCGTCGCCTTGATACCGCTCCCGCCCGAGCCACCGACTCGCACTGAAGTGCGCGCGCGTCAGCGCTGCCTGCGGGACGCGCTAGAAGGTGCCCACCTGTCCGCGTCGCCGCGGCCGCGTCGGTCGCACGTGACAAGCTGACCGTTGTGCGCGCGAGCCCGCGCGCACAAGCACGGACGCAGCGAGCGGCGCCAGCCAGCCGGCTCCCAAGCAGTCAACGCAATCGCCGCCGCATGGGTTTTGCAAACCAAGTTGCGGGTGGGTGGGTGGGACGATTTCGCGAACAGTGGAGTTCACAACGCACTGCGAACAAAAAGGTATTTGCACCACGTATATTGCACAACGTAGATGCAGCAACATATATTGCACCACATGGATTTAACCACGTCGATTGCGCCGCATGGGTTGTGCAGCAGATAGAGTGCAGCACGTAAATCGCACCGCATACATTGCACCACATAGTGAAACTCCATATCATGTGATTCAACATTTTGTTGCAGAGCGTAGGTCGGAAAACATCGATGCAATGAGCCGTCAGAGATCGGCCCGATCACAATTGCTTGTTCCGAAATTCCTCTGATGGATCCAAGGGTACGCGTCGCATCCAGAACCGCTACCAACAGCCTTCTTTTAATCACGACCATACTACAGCTTCCCCTGGACATCGCAATCAGCTCGGCCAGATCACAGCCTGTTGTGATCAGTCCACAGTGGTCGACGGTCGGCCCGAAATGGTTGATTGGCCCCTGTCGCGGGGGCTTCCGCAGGACAGAAGTCGGGGCCGCCAAACGACCGAACCGCCTTAGACATCCCCACGGCCCGGGCGCGAACGGGCAAATGTCCTACCCCCTGGTGGATCATGCATGAAGTGCTCAAGCGCTACGCCTGCAGCTTAGAAAGAGAGAGATCTGGGCAACCAAGCAGGCAAACCGCTTGAGACATTTCCGCAAGCTGACCGAGAACGGGCGGGACCTACCTCTTGGCGGCTCCTCCCTGGGGTGCTCAAATGCCGCGCTTGCCATGTCGCGGCGAGCATTGCCCCCCCCAAAAAAAGCTCCTGTCCACCAAACAGGCAAAGCGCCTGAGACATCCTCACACTTTGAGCGCATGTCCTACCCCCTGTCGGCTCCTCCTTGAGGTGGTCAAATGCAACGCTTGCCGCGTCGGGTGTATTCTAGTCCGTGTGTGACTGACTGTGTGTGAGCGTGGTCTGCGTATGAGTTACTCAGGATACGAGTGTGGGTCTGTGTGTGAGCGGGTCTGAGTGCCAGAGAGTCTGAGTATGAGTGAGTTTGAGCGTGGCTAAACGGAGTATGAGCAGGTATGACTATATGTCGTATTCGTGTGTGGGTCAGTCTGAATGTCAGCGAGTTTGAGTAATAGTGAGTCTGAGTATGAGTAAGTCTGAGTGTGAGTGAGTCTACTTGTGAGTCTGGGTGTTGGCGGGCCTGAGTGCGGAAGGAGCAAGGGAAGCGGAGGCATCACACGATACGGAGCCCATATTTGGGATGTGGGATCACCATTCCGTCGCTTTGTCTACACGAGGCGAGGAGGTCTGTGCCCCCTGCTCGTCCCCAGGGCCTCTTCCTCGCCAAGCGCGTCGCGGGCCTCGGGGCCTTCGTGCGCACCTCCCAGGGCGCCGTGCAGCCGTACGCGGCGCAGGGGCGGCGAGGTACGCCAGAGGCGGAGCTGCCGCGCGGCTCCGACTTCTGGCACCAGGACAGCTCGTGCCTGGCCAGCCCTGCTCGCTCCACCGCCCTGCACCCGGGGGCAGCGTCAGGTTCTCTTGGCCTCTCCGACGTTCTGTTGGTTCTCGCCGCTGTTCCAGCCTCGGGGTGTGCTCCGGCAGCTGCGCCTCGCCGAGGGCGTTCGAGGGGCGCAGGGATCGTCCCAAACGGCCGCCGGAGACCCGAGTCATGACCCGAAAACCAGACGACGAGGATCATCGGGAGGGGAGAGGGTCAGGGGGAACGCATCAACCCCCAATCGCGCATGGAGCGCCGATTGGTGCCAAATAGCCCACCCCGCCCATGAGCGTGCGGATTCGTTACCGGGGGCCTGTCGCCGATTCATCGGCAATGCATCGCCGATACCAGTTTCACGTTCCCTTCCCCCCCCGAGCTTGATCCCCCCCCAAACGTCCCCCCTGAGCAGGAGACTGTCAAAAGGGCTCGTTGCGCATGGTCGGTTTGGTGCATACGGCCCGCTCGAGCATCCCAAGAAACGGCGCCGTTCTCTTTGTGTAAACAGCCTTTTTGAATTGGACCTTGTTGCAGCTCCCGACTGAGGACAATTCGTACCTGGCCAGCCCTGCTCGCTTCACCGCCCTCTACGCCACGGACGAGGTCCCCGCGGGGGAGGGCGACACCCTATTTGCGAACTTGGTGGCGGCGTGGGACGCGCTCGAGGTCCACCCCTGGGACCTACAGTACACACTACCATACCAATTTAGAAGCGAGAAGCGTTAGGTGACCTTCAAAACGCTGGGGCATGTTTTTTTTCCGTTGTCAGGATCGACGTTTTCGATCTGTGTTGGGCGTTATTTGTGTTACGTGTTCGGGTCCGGGGATCGGTTTCTGGCCTACCCGCGCTGTCTCCTCCCGGTTTCAATGCGATGTTCATTCGCTTCTAGGTATTACACTGCCGCCTGCACGGCGTCCACATTCCAGGGGGTCAGTTTAAGGACATTTTGATCGGCTCAGGAACGAAAAGTGGAAGGTTCTAAAAACCCCAAAACAACAAGCATATTAATATTGCTCGTTCTTCTGTGCTCGAATGCCATTCAACGTGTATTTCCCGAACCCTCGATACCCGCTCCCTTCGTCGTCAATCGTCCCCCTTTTGGGGGGTATCTTTTTCTTCCCTGCAGGCTGGACCCCCGCAAGCGGCGGGGCGGCCGCGGACCGTCGGCCTGGCCAGCGGCAGCGCTGATCGGCGGCAACCCGACCCCAAGAGGGACGGACAGGGGACCGACCACGACCACGACCACGACGACGACGACGACGACGACGACGACGACGACGACGACGACGACGACGACGACGACGACGACGACGACGACGGCGGCGGCGGCGGCGGCGACGACGAAAGCGAGAACGAGAGCGAGAGCGACACTGACAGCGACAGCGACAGCGGGGCCACTAAGGGCAGCGAGGGGGCCACAAAGGGCGACAGCGGGGCCACGAAGGGCACGCGCATGGGGCCACGAAGGGCGCGAACGAGCGGGGGCCTCGAAGGGCAGATAATGCAGGGCCACAGAGGGCAACGACGGGGTCACTGAGGGTAGCAACGGGGCCACATAGGGCAGCGAGGGGTCCACAAAAGGCGACAGCGGTGCCACGAAGGGCATGCGCACGGGGCCACGACGGGTGCGAACGAGCGGGGACCACGAATGGCGTGCGCATATTGGGCCGCAGAGGGCGAGGACGGGGCCATGGAGGGCAGCAGCGGGGCCACGAAGGGCAGCGACGGGGCCGCGAAGGGTGACGGCGGGGCCACGAAGCGCATGCATATGGGGCCACAGCGGGTGCGAACGAGCGGGGGCCACGAAGGGCGTACACGCATGGGGCCACGAAGGGCAGCAACGGGGACACGAAGAGGCGCAAAGGGGCCACGGAGGGCAGCGAGGGAGCCACGAAAGAGCGCAACGCGGCCACGAAAGGCAGCGAGGGGGCCACGAAGGGGGGCAAAAGGGGCCACGAAGGGCAGCAACGCGGCCACGAAAGGGCGCAAAGGGGCCATAAAGGGCAGCGAGGGGGCCACGAAGAGCTGCAAGGGGATACGAAAAGGCAGCGAGGGGGCCACGAAGGGGCGCAAAGGGGCCACGAAAGGCAGCGAGATCCCGATTCCTAAATTGGCTGTGAGGGGGTCCGAATCGTGAGCGCGACTTTTGGGTGCCTGGGTGTCGGGAGCGCGGCGCTTGAGTAAATTGCAAGGAATTCCGACACAAGAGCGCGATCCTTGAATACATTGCGAGCAAGTTTCCAGCGAGATCGCGATTCTAGATGCCGAAAGAGCGATTCTTGCATAAATTGTAAGGAAGTCCCAAGCGAAAGCGCGATTCCTAAGTAAAATGCGAGGAATTCTCAGGCGCGGGTGGGGGTCTTGGCTAAATTGTCAGGAAGTCTTAGGCGGGAGCCATTGCTGTTGTAATGGTTAAAAACAGAGTGCGGGCCTCGGGGGGGCATTTCATTTGAAAACCACAATGGCCACCGGAGGGGGTGGTCAACAACAATTACGTGTTCAAACATGAGAGTTCAACAACAACAACAACAACAACAACAACGACACCGACAACGACAACGACAACGACAACGACAACGACAACAACCACAACCACAACCACAACCACAACAACAACAACAATTACTAGCACGTGGGGACACTCCGTTCTCACCAGTGCCAGGGTTTTCATAGGAGGCGGGCAATACCCCCACTTTGTGGGGGGGCCGGTTCAAGCTCTACCAAATTTCCAAACGACTCTTCGCCACCACCCACACCCAGCTTCCCGCCCTATGACGTTCGGACACTTCACTTCGTGGCATGCGGACGACCGTGGCTACTATTCAGGGCCCCGCGGCCGACGACGACGGCGTGCGCGCGCGAAGAAAAAACGAATGTGTCCCGCATGGTATTATTTGACAGGGATGATGGCCCTGGCAGGTGCGCAACCGTTGTTGCAGAAGTTCGAAAAAGTTGCTCGCAAAAGCCCGTTTGACAGAAATGATTAAAAAGTGTTGGGTTTCCTACGAATCCGCAAGAGCGCGCGGGATGAAATTTTGACAATTTTTTTTGAAAAACCATTGGTTTTTTGATGTTTTTATGTTAAAATCGCTACGAAAACTAAGGTTTTGGAAGGATTTCGTCTTGCGCGCGCGAATGTCCACTTTACCTTATTTTTTGCAAGGGATTCTTGAAGTTTGGTTATGTTAGAACAAGAAATGTCCACTTTAGCTTATTTGTTGCAAGGGAAAACCGATCGTAACAACACAACCGGATCCGGACCAACCCGTTTTGCCTGAGACTTCCTCACGAAAATGATGAAAATGAGGCTGCGGCCTAGGCGCGGCGGGGGGGTCGTGCACCAGGGGCCCAACAATAATTATTCTTTAGAAGTAATAATGTTCAACAACAACAACAACAACAACAACAATTACTAGACGTGGGGACACTCCGTTCTCACCAGTGCCAGGGTTTTCATAGGAGGCGGGCAATACCCCCACTTTGTGGGGGGGCCGGTTCAAGCTCTACCAAATTTCCAAACGACTCTTCGCCACCACCCACACCCAGCTTCCCGCCCTATGACGTTCGGACACTTCACTTCGTGGCATGCGGACGACCGTGGCTACTATTCAGGGCCCCGCGGCCGACGACGACGGCGTGCGCGCGCGAAGAAAAAACGAATGTGTCCCGCATGGTATTATTTGACAGGGATGATGGCCCTGGCAGGTGCGCAACCGTTGTCGCAGAAGTTCGAAAAAGTTGCTCGCAAAAGCCCGTTTGACAGAAATGTTTAAAAAGTGTTGGGTTTCCTACGAATCCGCAAGAGCGCGCGGGATGAGATTTTGACATTTTTTTGTTGAAAAACCATTGGTTTTTTGATGTTTTTATGTTAAAATCGCTCCGAACACTAAGCTTTTGGAAGGATTTCGTCTTGCGCGCGCGAATGTCCACTTTACCTTATTTTTTGCAAGGGATTCTTGAAATTTGATTATATTAGAACAAGAAATGTCATTTTATAGTGTTTTTTGCAAGGGAAAACGGATTACAACAAAACAACCGGATCTGGATCACATCGTTTTACCTGAGGCTTCCTCACGAAAATGATGAAAATGTAGGCTGCGGCCTAGGCGCGGCGGGGGGGGCGTGCACCAGGGGGCCCAACAATAATTATTCTTTAGAATTAATAATGTTCAACAACAACAACAACAACAACAACAACAACAACACAACTACCCTGCCGAAATACCCAAGAATATGCAATTGTGAGCAACGCAGTTTTAATATCGTCTTCTGCGGAGCTCCCCATCGGGCCACGGAGCGTGTGAGGGGTGTGCCGACATGGGTGCGGCGGGCGCATGCGAACACAGCCATTGAGGCCTTCCATGGACCTCGCTGGGGGGCCACGAAGCGTCTGCGGGGTGTGCCGGAAAACGGCGCGGTGGGCGCATGCGAACGCAGCCACTGGGGCCTTCGGTGGAGCTCCCTGTGGGGCCGCAAACCGTGTGAGGATTGTGCCGGAATCGGTGCAGCGGGCGCATGCGAACGGAGCCACTGGGGCCTTCGGTGGAGCCCCTGTGGGGCCACGAAACGTGTGAGGAGTGTGCCGAAATTGGTGCGGCGGGCGGACGCGAACGCAGCCATTGAGGCCTTCGGTGGATCCCCCAGTGGAACCGCGAAACATGTGAGGGGTGTGTCGAAATTGGTGCGGCGGGCGCATGCGATTGCAGCCGCTGGAGCATTCGGTTGAGCTCCCTACGGGGTCACGAAGCGTGTGAGGGGTGTGCCGTAAATGGGCGCGGCGGGCGCATGCGAACGCAGCCACCGTGGCCTTCCCTTCAATTCTTTCTGGTGTCACTATACGTGTGAGAGGTGTGCTGAAATAGGCGCAGCGGGCGTATGCGAACGCAGCCACTGAAGCCTTTGGTGGAGTTCATTATGCGGCCGCGGAGCGCGTGCCAGGGGAGTGCCGACATGGGTGTGGCGGGGGCGCATGCGAACGCAGCCGTTGGGGCTTTCGGTGGAGCTTACTCTGGGGTCACGAAACGTTTGTGGGGTGTGCTGGAATAGGCGCCGCGAGCGCATGCGAACGCAGCCGTTGAGGCTTTCGGTGGAGCTTTCTCTGGGGCCACAAGGCGTGTGATTGGTGTGCCGAACTGGGTGTGGCGGGCGCGTGCGAACGTAACCACGGGGGCCTTCGGTGGAGCTCCCTATGTTGCCACGAAGCGTGTGAGGGTATGTCGGAATGGGTGTGGCGGGCGCATGGGAACGCAGCCACAATCGTGTTCGGTGGAGCTCTCTATGGGGCCACGAAACGTGCGAGGCGTATGCCGAAACAGCAACATGCGGATGTTATATGTAGGGATGGGAGGAAAGAGGGAGGAGGACGGAAGGAAGGAAAGAAGAAAGGAGACTCGGGAGCAGCATCCTTTTAAGAAGCCTTTCTCCTCCCCCTACCCCCGTTTGTGCGGGCCGCCAGTGGAAACAGCTGAGGGCGTGCCCTCTCTGGGGACCTCGCGGAACCGCTGGACGTGGGCACCCGCCCGCCTGGCCTCGCGCACCAGGGAGGGGGGCGCTTGAGCCAGAGGAGGAAAAAAGTGACCCATACCGCGATCCTTGCTTCGTTTTCCTGTTTGTGGGTCTCTTTGGATGCCCTCGTCGCCACCGCTGGATTCGCATCGAAACTTTGGTCGGAACGCACCCCAGGAGAGGTCCGGGGAGTAGCCGTATGAGTACCTTGTGGTTTCCCCTACCTCTTCCTCGGCGTAAGCCCTCGGGGGTGCTTGTGGGTGGTGTTTTGGAGCTCTCGACAGCTTAACTAAGCGCACGAGTCGCGTCGCCCGTCTACCTGCACATCCAGGGGCCCCAATCTGGCAAGACGTTGGATCACGCCAAGACAACCGGTTCAGTAGAGGTTGTTCCATGAGGCCCACCACGTAATCTCCAGCGATACGAGGGAGCAGCGCGCGTAAAAATGAAGTAAGACGATGCCGATGTTCAGGGTGTTTTCCGGAACTGGCCATATCCAACGTTGCAGCAGGCGCGTCTTGAGGAGCCAGCCTGTCAGCAGGTGCCACACGGAAATGTCTTTTCCCCCGATGACCTCTGAGGGCCATAGAAGCCGCGGGGCACCTCAAGGAGTTCAGAGTTAGACGACAGACGTGCCCCAGATTTCTAGCAAGGTTTCTTATCGCATGTGTCTCTTGTACTTGAGATCCCCGATGGGGCAAGTCATCAAATCGGCGGGTATGAATAGATCCCACCGCCTTCAGAAAGCGGTCCCAGACCTCTTCTAGGCTGCGCTCTGGCCCGAACCTCGAGGCGGACCTGGTCGTGGCGGCGAGGAGTCCCCCGGAAGACCCAGAAAGGCCCAGAAAGGCTCAAAAACCTCACGTCCTGAAATCCGAAGTCACGGACAATTTGCAGCATCGCGGAAAATCACGACCCGAGATCTGAACCCCATCGTTCCGTTGCATTGTTCGAGCTGGTTCAAGGGTCCTGGGCTCGAAAGAGGGCGAGATCGCAGGTTGCTGCCAGCTCGAAACATATCCCTATCCCTATGTCCTACGTCCTATGTTTGGCATCGCCTTACCTCGGTACCGATCTTAATGATTCCCTTAGTTTCTGAGGGCGCATCCCTAAGATTGTCACCGCCTTGGGCTTACCGATCTGAGGGATAGGGATAGGTTCGAGGCTGATTAGGGTGTGAAAAAATGCAGCGCCGTGATCTCAGGGCACCCCGAGGTTCGACCCTCGCACCTCGAAGAGGTCGAACTTTCCCTTCCTGGGCGCGTGGCCGGGAGCCAGGGCCAACGTCAGGTAGGGGGCACAGGATCGATAGTTTGGGGACTCTCCTGGAGGCCCCCCAAGTATCGGTTTGACTCTAGTTCGAACCTGGTTCGACTCTACCTCTACCCTAGCTCGACTCTAATTCGACTCAAGCTCGACTAAAGTTCGACTCAGGTCGACGGACGTTCGACGAAGCATCGATGCAGCATCGACGCACGAGTGGAGCGAGTGGCTCCGGGAAGGTTCCAGAACGAGCATCTAAGGATCGGGGCAGGAACGCATTGACCCCCAAGCGCCCACTGATCGCTGATAGGGGCCCGATAGCCCACCCCTCCCAGGAACTGGCGGATCCAACATCGGGGTCTACGTAGTGAGACTTCGGGCTGCGCGCAAACAGCCCCGCAGGTTATGCTGGCTGGCCTCAGCACGCCCCCCGAGTAGTCCTTACTGGCCGCAACAGCCTGGGGGGGTCTCCACAGCCTGGCGTCGCTTCCGGCGGCGCCCCTGAGGCGCTGCGCGCCCCAGGGTTGGGGCGTTGAGACCGCCCCAGGCTACTCGGAGGAAGGTCAGCTGGGATTGCTTCGGGAAACCGTTGAGACCGTCTGCGCGCAGCCCGAAGCCTCACCATCAGGGTCCCACCGCCGACCCATCGGCAAAGTATCACCGATTCCAGGTCGTCGTTCCCCCTTGAGCGGTTCACCCCTGAACGTCACGAAAAAGTTGCAACATCGTCGGAAATCACGACCAGAGCTTGAACTCTGCTTGGTTGTTCTTCTTCAGACTCAAGCAAGTTTGCTTGCAAAGCAATTCCCCCCTCCCCCATCCCCTCCGCCGCCATTTCAAGCAGTGCTGGGCCGAGAAGGCGCGCAAGTCCATCCCGACTTGCGCGGAGTCCAGGTTTCCGTTCGGGCCTCGCCACGCCCCCCCCCTCCCCCCTCCATGCGGGCAAACTTGCCAGAGTCCAAAAAAGATTGCTGTCGCACATTCGCCTTCGAGGAGCCCGTGCGGCAGGCTGCCCGCCGCCTGGAGTGCTGGCACTGCCACGCGCACAACGGCGGCGAGCCGCACCCGCAGCACCAGCGCGGGCCCTTGCTGCCGGCGCAGCGCCACCCACTGGTCCACAGGCGCCCCTGGCATGTGCTCCGAAACCCTTGCTGGTCTGGGGTTGCATTTTTTCACACTGGGCGTGTTCGCCCAGTCTCGGGTCCAGGGACCATTACAGATCGATCGAAAAGCAGGATTGCGTCTAGGGCTTTGGTCGTGATTTCGTTTAGGATGGTGAACACTCAGTGCCTCATGTCCGACGATACTGAGTCTTCAATTTGGGCGTTTTTCCTCGATTTCGGCCTCTTGGGCCCGTCATCGGGCCCCAGGACCATCAATTATCCTGGCGAAGGACCCAACCATATGCAGTTGTGGGTGCCGCAATTGTGAAAATCGTTTTCGGTGAGGCCACGAAGCGCTGCACTTGGTGGGGGGGAACGCTGTTCTGGGTGAGTGGTGTGTCAAGTAAGGTTTCCGGGACGCATGCGGACGGTCAGCTCCCTATGGGGCCACGAAGCGCTGTACTGGGTAAGTGAGCATGCCAAATTAAGCTTCCGGGACGCATACGGACGGTCCCACTGGAGACTTCGGTGGAACTCCCTATAGGGCCACGAAACGCTGTACTGGGTGGGTGAAAATGCCAAATTGGGTTTCCGGGACGCATGCGGACGGTCCCACTGGGGGCTTCGATGGAGCTCACTAAGGGGCCACGAAACGCTGTATTGGGTAAGTAAAAGTGCCACGTTGGTTTTCGGGACGCATGCGGACGGTGGCACTGGGGCCTTCGGTGGAGTTCCCTACGGGTCCACGAAATTTTGGACTGGGTGGGTGGAAATGCCACGTTGGGTGTTTCGGGACGCTTGCGGACGGTCCCACTGGGGCCGTCGGTGGAGCTCCACGTGGGGCCACGAAACGCTTCACTGGGTGGGCGAAAATGCCACATTGGGCGTGCGGGGCGCATGCGGACGGTGGCAGTGGGGCCTTCGGTGGAGCTCCCTGTGAGGCCACGAAACGCTGTAATGGGTGGGTGAGAATGCTCCCTATGGGGCCACGAATTTCGGTGTTTCAGGACGCACTCGGACGGTCCCACTGGGGGCTTCGGTGGAGCTCCCTATGTGACCACGAAACGCCGTATTGAGTGGGGGGGACGCATGTGGACGGTAGCACTGTGACCTTCCGTGGAGCTCCCTATGGTGCCACGAAGCGCTGTACTGAGTGAGGGGACGCATGTGGACGGTGGCACTGGGGCCTTCGGTGGAGCTCCCTATGGGGCCACGAAACGCTGTACTGAGTGGGGGGGGCGCATGTGGACGGTGGCACTGAGGCCTTCGGTGGAGCTCCCTATGGGGCCACGAACCGCTGCACTGAGTGGTGGGGACGCATGTGGACGGTGGCACTGAGGCCTTCGGTGGATGGGGCCACGAAACGCTGTACTGAGTGGGGGGGGCGCATGTGAACGGTGGCACTGGGGCCTTCGGTGGAGTTCCCTATGGGGCCACGAAACGTTGTACTGCGCACGGGACGGTGGCACTGAGGCCTTCGGTGGAGCTCCCTATGGGGCCACGAGCCGCTGTACTGAGTGGGGGGGACGTATGTGGACGGTGGCACTGGGGCCTTCGGTGGAGCTCCCTATGGTGCCACGAAGCGCTATACTGAGTGGGGGGACGCATGTGGACGGTGGCACTGGGGCCTTCGGTGGAGCTCCACGTGGGGCCACGAAACGCTGTACTGAGTGGGGGGGACGCATGTGACGGTGGCATTGGGGCCTTCGGTGGAGCCCCCTATGGGGCTACGAAACGTTGTACTGGGTGGGTGAAACGCAGGGAAGAGGGGGAGGAGGGAGGAGGAGGAGGAGGAGGAGGAGGAGGAGGAGGAGGAGGAGGAGGAGGAGGAGGAGGAGGGGAGGAGGGAGGAGGTGGAGGAGGAGGAGGAGGAGGAGAGGAGAGGAGAGGAGAGGAGAGGAGAGGAAGAGGAACGCGGGGCGACGTCTCTTCACAACGGGGACCCAACACCACAGGACGGTTGGGAAACATAGATCTGGTACGCAAGATAACCCCTGGGGAAGGGGTCGGGACATTTGGGGCCTCGCTCTGAAACAAGTCTCATCGGCGGATTTCTGGGGATCGGGGCGTTAGGGAAAAATCGGGGCGGCTGGTGTCTCCCTGTCTTCGGCCTCTTGCGGGCCTGTCCCTCGGCCTGGCGACCGTCAGCGAGCTGCCCAGGATGGAAAAATATGTATCCCCGTGGCCAGAGGAAATCTGCCTTTGGCACTGAGGGGGCGAGGTCCCCAGTGGCCCAAGTCACAGGACAAGACGCGACCCCGGAGGAGGGCCCTAAGATCCGACGTCACGAAGAGACACACCCCATAGACCCAATCTTTCTCCTGCATCTGCCGAGTCGGAAAGAGCCGAGGGGGTCCCGAAAGATGGCGAAATCGCGGGGCGTCAAAAATTTGCGACGCTTGGGTGTCAGCGAGGGAGGAACGGGGGCCCTGGCCGAGTGTGGCCCCAGCTTTTCCCCATGGATGATGTCGTCGTCGCCGCCGTCGCCATCAGCGCGGCGCCACCCGCTGGTTCGCAGGCACCCCCGGACTGGCTGGGCGGCGCTGCTCCTGACTTCAGACTCGAGGGTATGAGGTTTTGGGTGGTCTTCGCTCCGTCGTGGCCTTGGGAGGCCCCTCGTCGCAGAGGCTGGGTTCATGTTGAAATTCTACTATTCTGTTTTATTCACTTTGGTTTGATAGTTTTGGGCGGTTCTCGCGTTTGCTGGGCCTCTATGGGACGTATCCTCGCTACACGGCGGCATGATTCGCTTTGAAATTTTAGCCAGAACGCATCCCTAGACAGGTCCAGGGATCAATGTTTGACCCCCGAGCCCAGGTCGGCGGCGAAGGGGTCAAGATTTGGGGAGGAGCCACGTCACAAGCAAATATGCAACGTCGGAGGAGAGGGTCGTTGCTGGCGCAGCGGCGCCCACCGGTCCGCAGGCACCCCGTGACTGGCCGAGAGGCGCTGTTCTTGTCTCCTTGCTATGTATTGGCCTGCGGCCCATCCAGCCGCTCAGAGCAGGAGATACCAATACCACTGCGCGTCCCTCGTTTTCGCCTCTTGGCGTCTCCTGCAGGCCCTGGTGGCTGTGGCCAGATTCGTCTCGGAGTCCTGGCCATAGCATGCCACGGGAGAGGTCCGCGGGGCAGCAACATCGGTATTCGTTTGTTCTCCCAGTCCCGCAACTGTGCCTGCGTCTCCTGGAGGGCCTGTCGGAGGGCTATGGGGCGCCTCTTGGCAGCATCTTGGAGTCCTTTTGTGGGGATGTGGTGGTCGTCTCGGGCGGGGAAGCTAGGCTGCAACTCCTCAAGAGGTTGCATTCAGCATCGGTGCTGGTATATCCGTGGTCGAAGATCGGCCTGATGTCTAATGCGGCCTGGTCCCACTCAATCCGGCCTTTCGCCCCATGACTTTTACTCGGATACGGTTCAATCCGTCCTGATAGACCCTATCGGGCTTCACCGCTCTCACAGCCAAACAGGATCACAAGGATGAGCCATCGTCCGAGAGCGCCCCTGAACCATTGCCTTTTCGGCCCATCGTGACTCTTAGCCATGGGCCCTGGGTCGCCAAGGTTCCCATGAGCGCCTAGATGAGGTTTTTAAGCCCAGATGTGGATTCACAAAAAGTGCCGATTTGGATGGGAAAATACCTTATTGTTCAATCTATACATTTCAGCATCACACATATTGTGACTGGCACATCACCCATTCCCCACAAATAACATAGCCTGTGCACGCGCGTGGACATGAATATCCTACTCGGCACGCCGCTGTTGGCTATCATGTGTTGGTTTTCTCGTGCGAGCGCGCGCGCATTTCAACGTCGCTCGCCCCGCGCCTTTGTAAGTTTGCAGGCTCGCTTGTTTGAGCTAACAATGGCTAGTGGCTAGTGGACCGTTCTTTTTTTCGTACCGGGCTGAGTTATCAGAGCACACACGCACACACACATCAGCTTAAATGGGGCCGTTCAGCAGCCTCCCAAAACAATCATCCTTATAGGATGGAGTAGGTGGGGAACGGGCATGGGGCTTTGGTATATGTTGCCATGTGATGTCTCTGAGGCCAGCAATTTCAGAACGAACCTAGGCATGCGTTGACGAGAACATGTGGACCAATACTTGATTAGCGCATCCGTTGTATAGGGTATGGGGTTCCTGTTGGATGCGATTGCACAATTAGTTGTTAAACTCTCCCTTGCCATGGCAATGTTAGGGGGTCATGATGGAGTGGGCGGGGGGCTCCGGTCCGATGGGGGGGTGCTTTGCGTCGGCATTGCATCTGCTGGTTTCCACGGCCTCTCTTGCTCGAGCGATGGCTTGTGATTCATCCGATACAGAGCTGTTGCAACGACACTCGGATTCACTCGATGACATTTTCCAGCCGCCGATCGTCTTACGAGGAGAAGGAGACAGAAACAGGAATCATCATAATGTGGCAAACAGTTCGTCGCAACAATTGTCGGTAGTCCTGGGCAGCA